TGTGTGTGTGTGTGTGTGTGTGTGAGTGTCTGAGTGTGTGTTTGTTTGCGCGTGCGGGTGAGTGTGAGCGTATGTGCATTTCAGAACTCATCACAGAGGAACGTGAAGGTTCCACAGAAGCACTTTCCATCTCCTCCCATTCCTTCTCCACTCTCATGAAATTGAAGATGAATTTCACTTTATTGTTCTATTGTCTATATTTATCACACCAAAGGAAATTGTTAGTCCCCCACCCCCTCCCCCGAACCTCCCCCCGCCGGACTCGACCCAGAGTCAGAAATATGCTATGTTTGACCCTAAAAAAAAGATATGTCCACAACCTGTACCCTTTCATTATGGAAACTTTATTAAAACAAATGAGTGTTTTATATGATGAATATACACTGAATAAACTTACTTACTTGTCCTAAAATGTAAGTAATTCTCTAATTTCTCAGATGTGCAGCACCAATGTATGTATTTTTCAAGTCATGTGTGATAATTTGTGGATGTATGGGCCAGATGCCTTTATGAACAATAAAATCATCTAACAATCTAATCATTCCCTCTCCATAGTATTGGTCACCCTCCGTTCTCAAGCTTGGGCTGCAGTAAAGTTGCTGTGGATTCCCTCTCCAACAATGGTTAAAAGGAGCCGAGATGTTTAAGCACGTAACACTTCGTCGACAGGCTGTTAAATTGTACTAAGCCCAACGATTAAGTTTTTCAGGAGAGAGAGAGAGAGAGAGAGAGAGAGAGAGAGAGAGAGAGAGAGAGAGAGAGAGAGAGAGGAAAGTAAAATTGCATTCTTTTATCATATTTAGGTACCTAAATTATGTCAATGTTCTAGATATTTTCAACATTTAGAATTAGAAGTGAAATTACAACCTAATATTTCTTGAGCACACACAACCGATATCACAGGTTAAGAAACTGCAATGAAATATTGTTGGGTTTTTTTCTTAAGTTTCGAGCCTAGTACATTTTACAATCTGGTCCTACTTAATGCGTGCATGTGTGAGCAGCACTAATGATTTTATTAACGGGAGATTAACAGTACATGTATTGTCGTCATTGTCATCATTATATCAATATCATTGTCATCATTATATCATTCTCATCATTATATCATTGCCATCACCTCTTCTCCATGATAATTGATTCTTTGGTCTGAAATAGGGAATTGTTCTTGGAAATTCTCTTTTTCTTTTTATGGTAGGTGTTTGTACAATTAATGAGTATATTATTATATATA